TTGAGATGTGTGGATGTTAAAGTTATCGAAATTGCGTTATGTTAGGTAATCAAAAGTTTGTGATGGAATTTAATGAATCATATATAAATTATTGTTCAAGTAATGACCAAGCAACAAGTAATGATTAGATGAATTCCTCAATGTCGCTTAAGAGACAAAGTATATGTGGAACGCTATGACTTTAGGTTTGAATAAAAAACGACAAAGGCAAAAGTCTCATCTTTGAGACATTTATAACAACTGGTCATTTAGGTGCTAAAGTGTAGCAATGGTGCGTGACAGCTCTGTAATTTGATGAATTACACAAACAAATATTCTCACAAGAGAATTCATTCAAATACTCAATCATGCATTATACATTTAATTTAGTCGTGATGAATTGGTAAAATGCATGTATTATATATATATATATATATATATATATATATATTATGATTGCATAATTTTCTATGATTTTTTTTATTAATTTATATATGTTGACATGTATTTGTACTACATTGTATTGTATTGAAAACGTTATACTTAGCTTAATTATTTTTATTTGTAAATTGATTATTTTAATTTTTGAAATTGATAGTTATCTGTTGTAAATCAAAACAAGTCTTTAGATTTTATTTTATTACGAATACAGTAAAAAATTATACAAAGATAAATACAATTACAAATTGATACAATAAACATTAAAGTTAGTTAATATTTTACTACCTTAAAAACCTCTAATTTTTTTATTGGATGATGGATTCCCTTAATTAAGATGTTGAAAATTATATTAATTAAATATATAACTATTTTTTATTATAAAAATGTGTAATTAAACTCTATTTCCGTTGTCCTGTCAAAGATAGATAATATTAAAAGAATTGTTGTTATACACGTCTTTAACTTCCAAATATCCTTTTGTTTTAACAAAGATATGATATGAAGATATTGAGAAGATATAATATATTTCTTTTCGAAAAGAAAAAATGTTATAAATTGTTATTATTACTATTATCATAAATCCTAACTAAATAATAAAATTAAAAGATTTCTTTTTTCAAATTTTTCCTTTTCACTTTATAAATAATATCTGTTATCTCTTCTAGCCCTGTTTACCTTTTTCGTTCTATTCTCTGCTTCGAATTTTTGCAGTCGATTTGTATAGTTTGTTTCTTTGCACAACCAAGACCACGTGTGCGTTCCTGGACTAGTAGTAGTACGAATCAGAGAGAGGGTTCTTCTGTGCTGATTAGGTTAAGCTGTATGCAGCACAGTGATAATAACATGGAAACCTCCAAACTCAGTAACAGTACTCAAAATATTCGATGCCATCACTGCGCAGGACCCCTTTCAAACCGCATGGTATATTTCTTCCCAATAATTGTTATTATTCTTTTATCTCTTTCTCTCTTACCAATTTCATTCCTTTGATTCAGGAAACCAGTCTCTGGACCGTTTCGCCTCTCATCAGGGATAGCTTCTCTATGGTGAATTATTCTCACCCATTTAGTTTATTTCTTCGATATCTATGTGGGTGTGCGAAATTTCTGATCTTTGTTTTTGGGGTTGAACATTTTCAGATTGGTTCTGCCGTTGGCGGCACGGCGAGTGCATTTTATGGATTCAATCTTGGTATACACTCTTGCTTCTCATTTTTTGGTTATTTTTTAAAAAAGCTTGCTAAGATTCTCTGAAATTAAAGGGGTAGTGCATGGTGATCAGTTGCAGACTGTTATTTGGAAATAGGAACACTATGTATGTATAGAAGTGCTTTGTCCATCATGTCTGTATTGCTTCTAAGATGTGTTGTACAGAAACTTGAGTTATGTAAACATTGTGGGAACGATTAAGTATCTGTTTGTATTGAAGTTAGGTTTAATGTAACTGAAATTTAACACCACACTTCCTTGTACTTTTTCACATTGGAAAGTGGTATGTTAAATATCCATTTAACTGGTGTTGAATGTGTTTCCATACACAGCTGAAGTTTGAGTGGTTTGCAAACTTTATTTGTGGTAACTGTTTACCTTCCAAACTGAAGAATGTTAATTTTTCATAGGTTTAATTAATCATTTGTTCCTACATAACTTTTTGTATTTGTTCCTATATCTAAAAGCTCTATATTTTAGTCTTATACAAGCATTTGTTTTTGTTTTAACCCTTGTTAGCTTTCTGACAGTATAAAATTGTCTCAAAATGTGGTATAAAGACTAAAATTTAAGAGAAGAATCGCCGTGTGTAGGTACTGAAACATAGAATTTTAGATATAGGGACTAAAACGAAAACTTGGCACAAATGTTAGGATCAAATG